TGTTAACAGTGCTAACAGTGCACTGCGGTCAATGCAGGGTTTCCCATTCTATGAAAAACCAATGGTATCATATTTTGTTAATTTTTTTTGTGATGGTAAATATGTTCCTATATAGTAAAATTATTTTCTGTTGTTGTACTAGTAAACAGAGAAGAATTACTTATTTGATTTCAAAGAGATATTTGATAATTTCTGTTTTACTTTGTGTTGCAATAATTCAAATAATAGTCAAAAATGACAAAATGGCTAATTTGTGTTGCAATTATTTAATCTGAAATTAATGGTCAAAAATGACAAGATGGCATGTTTCCACTGTCATGGCTTGACGTGTGTGTGTGGTACAGGCCTTGACTGAGGAACTTGCCCTCTGATCATTGTGTCACCCTACACCAGGTAACAAAGAGGGTTGTATATAATGTCAAGAATAGATTTATATGTGATTTATATTTATCAGTGATAAATGTATATAAGATTGGTATAATAAAAACCTTGTTTTTATGGTGGATTTCAGAAATCAGTTTCAAAGTTTAATGGATTTTTTTCAATGTGTAGATCTTTCAATCTTTTAGAGAATACAATATGCAAAGAAAGATTCTGACATAATCGCCAAAATGAAAGGAACATTTGTGGAGAGACCCAAGAGGCCAAAGGAACATGAGCCCGAGAGTAAAAAGAAGAAGAAAGCAAATAGGTAAGGATACTAAGCACACTGTTATGAGATATGCTATACAGCTGATTTTTGCTCTCTCCAACATCTGAGTACTGAAAATTTGGTTAGCCAAGACAGTAGATTCACATTGCAGTAGAGTAGCAAATTTTTAATCATACAATAAAATTTGTCAAATCCAAACACCACTGTTTGCAAAGATATTGATATTTAAAAATTCCAAAAAAGACAATATTTTAAGCATTTAAATAGTTCGAAAGGAGCTTCAATTTTCGATTGTATTAGACAAAAAATTTAGAATACACATCATTGGTAAAAGAGACCTTTCACTGTAATTCAGTGTGATCTCCCCAGAACTTAAGTTTTTGTCCAGCCCATTATGTGACAGGCTCTGATTTGATGTAATGATTATGTAATTTCAGACAAGCTGCTGCCGCTGCTGCTTCTGCCTCTAATGCAGTGTTACCCCCACCAGCACAGCCTTGTAAGTAGACTTATTGTTGTACAAGATTGCAAGAAAGGGAAAAAGGATTTAGTGATAGGCATGCGTAACTGTTAACACAGGTCATATTTAAGAGAAAATTTCATCCAATAAACAGATGCTTTCTTAAATTAGAAATGATATTCAAGTTTCTGTTGAATAGAAATAAATTTTAGAGACTGAAGATACAAATAAGGGGCAAGAAAATACCGTATAAGTGGAAATTTTAGCAAGAAAATATGTCCTTAAAAACTGAATTTATTTTTAGTGTTATTTTAGACATATTGAAGCTATTACAAATAAAACGCAATTAATTTTTAAGCACAAGTAATAATGATTTCCTCGCTAAAAATTGGTATGTAATTACATCACACACTCTTATAGTTTATATATTCTTTGATGTCAGAATATGATGACTTTTTCCATAGATTTATTTGGAGTTACATTGTATTGTCTGGTTTTATATGATAAAGATGACCCTTTCCTTAGATTTATTTTTTGACATACACTGTAATTTCATTTGTGTGTTTCAGCCCCAGCAGCAGCCCCACCCAGCCAGCCGGCAGCCCCCACTGCTATCCCAGAACAACCCCCCAATCAAATCCTCTTCCTCACCAACTTACCAGAGGAGACTAATGAAATGATGTTATCCATGTTGTTTAACCAGTAAGTAGATCCTACTTAGTATAGTAAGTGAAAGACATTTTGAGAAATTACCGGTAAAAAAAAGTTAATTGCACATTTGAGAATATCAATGACTTTTCGTTATATTAAGGTTTTCAATCCCTAATAGTACTTTCCCTTAAATGTCCTCAGAAAGATATTATATTAAAGCATTTTATAGAAAAAAGTTGTAAAAAGTTTTAATTAAGCAGTACAGTTGCTTAACTGAGAGTACCAATGACTTTTCATGATGAATGCATTATAATAAAAGAATTTTTTTTTTAATCTTTTTTTTATTAATTAAAAAAGGGGAGATAACCATTAAGGTCATGAACATTTAAAAGTAGTGACATATATGCTATGTCTTCAATTTCAGAATTTCTTCCTATTAGATTTAACTTGGTAACAAAAATTTCTTGATGCTATCTTTACATTTTATGAATGTATTTTAACTTTAATCTAGGTTTCCTGGATTTAAGGAGGTTCGACTTGTACCTGGTCGCCATGACATTGCATTCGTTGAATTTGAAAATGAAGTCCAGTCAGGTGCTGCTAAGGACGCCCTTCAAGGATTCAAGATCACTCCTAGCAATGCCATGAAGATCTCTTATGCTAAAAAATAGAACTGTTGTCATCATAATTCAAATACCATTAGAGAACAACATCATTTCTTTCAATCATGATATGATTTCATTAACGATCATTTCATTGTCAAGTTTTAATGATTCATTATCTTTGTTGCTGGCATTGCACACTGTCAGATTTGTGCACTTGAAGAGTCTCATTTTATTGGGACTCTTGTCCAACCTTGCACCTCAGTTGATTCATTCTTGACATTGCACGCTCGTCAGAATGAAAATGATCAACATTGCACTGAGGTTGGTTTCATTGTTAAATGTGTAGACTGAATGCGAATAAAAATTTTTAAAATGAAATCTTGACAAATTTATTTTGAATCTTACACATGTAGCATTAGATTAGCTGAGTAATTGAACGGCTTTGCTCAGTTTTTGAACTTTAGACACCAGGGGATGCTTACTCCTTTGTTGCACCTGATTCCACCTTTTGATATTTGAGGTCTATGCTTGCACTTGTTGCGATTCATTTTGTTTCATTGGCCTATTGAACTTGATTACTGTTTGTAATCTTCATATTTTAATTTACCTATGATGTAAACATAGGAAGTGACTGTTTGTTTAAACTTGTGATTGGAGCAAGACATTCTCTGTTGGAAAGAAGATGCATCACGTTCATGATTTCCATGGCCTCTCTAACGGGTTAAAATTATTATACCCCCCGCAATCGAAGTTTGAGGGGTATATAGGAATCACCTTGTCCGTCTGTCTGTGCAAACGTGTCCGGTCCATATCTTTCTTACAGAGGGACATTAGAATCTACTACTCCACACAAAGATTGCCCATGACCTAAGGGTGTGTCATGACCTTGACCCAAGGTCATTTGGGCAAGTTCAAGGTCACTGGAAGAAAAAGTTCATAATTCATGTCCGGTCCATATCTTTCTTATGGATAAACTTGGTAGGTTCTCATTTCATGCAAAGATTGCCCATGACCCAAGGGTGTGTCATGACCTTACTCACTTGAAGTTCAAGGTCACTTTTAATTCATGTCCGGTTTCTTTCATGGATAAAGCATTCTCATTTCATGCAAGATAATGACCCAAGTGTGTCATTATTAAAGGTCACTTGAGGAAGTTCAAGGTCACTGGAAGAAAAAGTTAATAATTCATGTCCAGTCCATATCTTTCTTATGGATAAACTTGGTAGGTTCTCATTTCACGCAAAGATTGCCCATGACCCAAGGGTGTGTCATGACCATGACCCAAGGTCATTTGGGGAAGTTCAAGGTCACTGGAAGAAAAATTTCATAATTCATGTGTGATACATATCTTTATTATGGAAAAACTTGCTTCTGAAAACACCCAGCGGGGGGTATTTTGTCCCGTTTGGACAGTTCTAGTTATAATTATAATTTGACACCATTTATCCAAGAAAATTTGTTGGAAGCAATGGTTGATTAATAAATTTGATTATTTTGTTTCACTGCAGATGTAGGAATAGTTTAGCCGCATTGGTTGGCATACAGTTGATTAAAACTTGTATAGAACACATGTGTACAATGTAATTTGACCAAAAATATGAAAACCATTCATTGCAGTGCTAGAAAAGCAAATTTGAGAGGAGTTTCCAAGATATATTTCAGGAATTTTTCTGTTACAAGGAGGTTAAAATGAGATTTTCCTCGGATATTGATTCTTTGCTCATTACATAATTGCAGTAAGGCAGAAAAAAAAGAATAAAAGTATGAATCAGGGGAAAACTGCAACCGAAGTTTGAAAAATAAAATTGAAGGCTGCTGAACTTAACTTAAAAAAAATTGTACCTTAATCAGTATTCTTATTTGGAGACTACTTGACAACTCGGGTCTACATTTCCACTGCAATGAATTGTGTCTGTATTTTCCATATTTTAAAAAAGTTTGAGTAGAACATGAGAATTTATTCTTCTGATATTTGGCTGGGGGTGCTTTTTGGTGATAAATAACTCGTGTTCGCAATTCTTGGATATTCAAAGCACTTTCAATGGATTTTCTTTTTGATTTTTGATAAGATCACTAATCAATTCATTTGCAATGTAATTTCTTCTTAATTTGTTTATTAAGTAATATGAAATATGTACATGTACAAAACAAGGTGGGTTTGTACAGTACAGTTGAACCTATGTGTATACTGAAGTAACTTGGAAGTCCCAGCCTCCTTTTATTTTAACCTTAACTTGTTTCAATTTTACATCTGCCAATACAATTTTCACAACTTTCGAGATTTATTTTTGCAAACTATATTTTTAAGCATGTAGATTGCCTTTCAACATAGTAGACAGAGTCTACAAGCAATTTTAACAACCTCTGCAACAGCCAGTGGGAGTGAATCTTAACCTTGTGAAAACAGTTTTCAAACTGGCATATGATCTTACTTTGCCTACCACAGAAATGTCAAGTGTTTTAAATCAATCCATATACTTTTGCATTAGTAAATCCAAATTTATTTAGGAATTTGATTTTGATGAACAAAATCCAATTTTCAGTGATGTTCACATACCATCAGAGTACATGAATCTGAGTATATTTGTCATTATTGTAATGCTGTAGTTATAAACTAAGAACAGAACATGGCTAAAACATGCTGAATGTTTAATACTTGTACAACAAGATGAATGATGAATAAAGATGGAACAAATTCAATCAATTTTTGCATTGTAAACAGTGGTGCTCTAATGTTAAGATGTCATCCAATGGTATTCTCCATCCGCAAAGGTTCGAAGAATATTGTGATATTTTTTCATTGCACATGTACAGCATTATCTGTAATGCATTGGTTTGTTTTTGTTTTATTTTTTAAAGTTGCTCCCATTTGCAGACCTCTAGCCAAAAACTGTATGATAACATCATAATAAGGACACAGAAGAAATTCAATACATTGTACTATTTTAATACATAAATATTTCTAATAGAATGTACAGCTGTCAACATGTTTTTTTTTTTAAATCAGATGAAAAAATATCAATTGAGTAAACATTAACGGATGACATCTTACAGATTCAAACTTGTATTGGGACAAAAAATTTGTTTTCTTGCAATAATGTTCATCAGTTTCAGTATTGAATAAAATTGAAAAAAATTTCAGCTTTCAGTCTATCTCAAACTACATCTCCTTTAACCCATCATAATACTAACAAAAAGAAAGTGAAAGTTTGTACCCAAATTTGAGGTACAAATAACAATCAAAATGCCACTTCATTTTACCCAGAATAAAATAACCACTGAATAAATAGCACTATAGATATATAATAACAAATTGGGTTATTTACAAGTCACACATTTTGTTGTTTTTCTTTTTTTTTTGTGTGTGTTGATGTGAGAACAACAGAAGGCTTATATAGAAATGTTATTCTGGGTAAAACTGGATCACATACTATCTAAAGACCTGAGAAGAGTCATCTTGCTGGCTCACTTCCCTACTGCAGTCCGATGCCTACAGCTTTTAAGTTTACTTCGTCATTTCTACCTTGTATAATTATAAAATGACATGTTCTGTTTCATGATCAGATTTCAGTCTCTGTTATAATATTTATGAAAATCCTGATAGATAGAATTGGTATAAATATGACATACTTCCAGGTTTTCAATCAATTCCAACCTATATTAATCAGGTATATTTACAAATGTATTTCCAGAACCGTGTATTACAATGTAATAACCCTATTTTAACTGATTTACAGCTGTTTCTTTTGAAACTGAATGTTGTTCATCTATATACAGGTATTCAATTTTGAAAAGTCAGGTATGACAGAAATCTGAATTGAAAAGGAACATGTCACGTTCCTTTCAAAGAACAATACACTTAAGTCTACATATTCCACAACCCCCTTTAACTAAAACAAACATAAAATGGAATATACAGTAGGTAATAATCCAATAATTCAATACTTATAGTATTAACACACTGAATGATTTCATATCTCAACACTTAACATCTAAAAAGGCCACAATTTTGCTTCTTCTTTCTGCTCTCAGTGCTGTACCTGAGTAGTGAAATTTGCAACCCAACTGAAAAATCATTTACAGCAAATTATATATTACAGAAAAAAAGTTTTAAGATGACGGATGCACTTGACCATGTATTTTTTAACACGCTGCATTTCACAATATGGTAACATTCATAAGAGATATGTGTATACTGATGTTTGCATCATTTGGGAATTTGTACTGGGTTGTGCAGCTTTAGTACAACTTATTGCCTTGAAGTACATGTCATTTAGCATGCAAAAATAACTTCTGACTAATGAGTACAGGGGGTATCAATGCATGTGCCAGTAAATGATTTTTCAAGTGATATAAATACTTGTTGATAACAACTTTTAGAACTCTCCTTGCTGGTCTTGTTTCATAAAATTTTAACATTAAAATTTAACAGCTGACCCATCATAGCTCAGCCAATAACAGGGAAAAAAAAAATAAGATTTTTAACAATCTGGCAGAAATAAGTTAAACATACATAAACCTTCTCTAACAAGGAGCAAACAATATCAACTAAAACAATACAATCTTTGGTGCACCAATACATAATTCAAAAATTTCTCCTATGTATATCCATAATTCAGAGGGTGTGTTTTTATGACCACATTATTAATTATAACCATACAACATAACATTTGTGCACAAAATGTGCAAAACAAAGAACATACTTTAACTTTTTATCATAAATATCCATACACCACACTACGCAAATCACAACTATAACACTAGTTGTCAAAAAACACCCAACATTGTTCTTTACGATGAGAGAAAAATCTGCTATCCGTTCCTTATCCATCAGCCTCACAAGGGAGGTCGCTGAGACAAAGGAAATGTGCTTTATTCGATTTTTGTTTATACAATGAATATTCAAAGTGATCTTCCTTTGTCTAAGTTTGTTTGTCCTTAATATCTTACATGATTAAATGGATTGAATTATTTGTTTGTCCTTAGGACCAGTCATGATATAAATAATACAAAAAAAATCACATGCTGAAATAATCTTATAGTAATATGTAACAGTTTGTGAAAGACTAGGTTCTCCTTGATTCAGTCCTTATTCTCTGGATACCGTATCCCGACGTATTTTTTTTTTTTACAAATAGAAGCTGCTTTATTGTTTCTGGTCTGTCTCCTTCATAGTCACAACACTCAACCTGACAAAGTTTCTGGTGATGTCCCACCTTTCATGTAAATAAATAAACTGGTCACTTTCACAATGTTTAGCTTTCATGATGCGTGTCCCCTGATCCGCCTAAAGCACATTTCCTTTCCCGTTTTTTGTAGCAGCCTTACTGGCTTTCTTCTCCCCCTCCTCCAGCTCCTCCGCCCCCACCAGGACTAGTTTTACTGGCTGCTGAACTGTCACAGAACTCACATAGCATGTCTCGAAACCTGCCCCATGACCTCTCTGGAATGGTAACTGCAGTCCGGTAATTAGCACGAACCTGACAACAAATAAGGTTAAAAATTTATAAAAGTGACTTTTAAAAGATTTGTGTGGGTTTGTGGGGAAGGGTTTATTTTTAAAATTGAATTACTGGTATGAACATTACTTGAAACATAAATTTACTAATTTTATAACGTATTGGCAGTTGAACTTTGGTATCTTGAATACAGTTCAAAAAGCATGAGGCCTACACTGCAAACAAAAATTCATTTATAGGTATAAACAAGTTTCATTGTAAAGGAATGAAATTGGTGAGATTTTTTTTTTGGCATAAGGAGGAGAAATTCTACCCAATCAGTCAAGTCAGGTTGTGGTGAATGGACTGATCAAAGGTAAGTTTAAAATTACCAGGACACCACTTACTTCAGAAATTCTGAGGTAAACACCTCTTCTGTTTGATCCAACATCAAAATAGAATACTTTGTTTTCTACTCTTAAGTATTTACTCTCTGGTAGTTCATTCTGTCCCTCTGAAAAAACAAAATAAAACATTCATCATGTTGCATGAATTCATCCATTGAATGATACAGAAATTTCATGAAACATAACAATGCATGGATACTGTGGAATCATTTTAATCTATGGAGATCAATGTTTTTTGGCAAACAAAATACAGGTAAACTGCATAATCTCGACATCGAATGAACAATCAGAAAATGTCAAGATATCTGAGGTGTCGAGATATCAGAGTTGAGACTCAAGTCCTTAATTTTACTGCACAGAAAAACAGACATGTAACTATGTACATGTCTTAATAGACTGTAGCTTGTTTGTTTCAGCTATCCCACTATATTTATTAGAAAATCTAAGAATTATGAAATACTTCCTTTTTCATCGAAATCTTCTCATTTTACTAGTAACAGTTTTCCATCCAGCATTCCCCATGCTTTGTCAGCACAGGATACAAAATGCGCTCTATAAACTCTGAATAGCAACGGTATAAAATTGACTTCCGTGATACGGGAAAAAATTCACTATTTTTATTTCATTTTCAAATCAAAATTTGATTGGATTTGTGCATTAAAACACACTTAATGATGTTACACATGCATGAATATTACCGCTGATTCAACAGTCATGCATGTCATAGATTGGATTGTTTTCTGTTGAATGCATTTTTACCACAACTTTTAAGTTAAACTGAATTCAATGTGTATATTATTCATTGTAATTTAGCTACTTTTTTTACAAAATGATAAAGTTTTGTTAGATTTCGACATAAATAAACAGTTGTATATTTACATCGAATCAAGTAGATTTATCATTGATATTACCCAAGCTGAACATTAAACAATTAACTTCTCAGAGATGCTGAGGGGGGCTTGGGATTCCTCTACAAACACATTTATATAGAAGCACTATGTAGTCAAAACATGGGTGTGAATTTCGAGATACATGGAGTCATACGTGCGTGACGAGCAACCAGCTGACAAACAATTAGGTTAAGTGAAGCAGAAAATTGCTCCGATGTCGACATATACCAGGTAAATTTTGCTCTTGGGACTGTGAATATACATCAAGATGTGCAGGGTAGTTGACATTACCGAGGTCAACATATCAGAGTTTTTGCAAATCATATATATAGTAAATAATGCCGGGACTGCAGACACACTGTGACATATCGCAGGTTGTCTACATATCTGATGTTGAGATATCAAAGTTTACCTGTAAACAGAGGATATCTATATTGTGTACTTTGATATTGGCTTTAATGCCGCTTTATCCAATGATTTGAAATGGTACACATGTTGGCGAGGCTTGCTGAGCAAATATACACCTTTCAATGAGTTCTTTGTGAAGATATATGCATACAGGAGATTTTACAGTTATTGTTTATTTAGATGCATATATCTGAGTAAGGATCGCAAACATAATCCACAAACATGGATCCTCCACAAACAAACAATGATTACAGTGTTTGATGAACATACACAAATTGATCCATATTTGTGAACAAAAACTAACACTCTCTACATAAAAGGAAGAAAAAATTGTGAAATATTTACCAGTATCTGACTCACCATGGTCATCTGTCCCAAACTCATCCAGGAGGTCAGTGAGGGCATCTCGAAACTCGATCATTCCCTGAGCAGGAATAGCAATTTGAGAGCGGGGCCCACCACGGGGTCTCGTCTGGGCGACCTAATTTAAAACAGTACACTGAAAATTTATAGATCAGAATTCTCTTGAAATTCATAGAATACATGCTTAAAAATTGTAAGTGCATGTCAGTAGATTCACCTTGTTTGTTCAAAGCTTTCAAATTGCAATGACAGTGATTATGAACTCATGTGCATGAAAAGCAGTAAATGACTGAGATATATAATGAATAGGATCATATTCTCTTCTTATCATGTATATACAATATTATCACTGATCATGATCCAAATATGTGTATAATTTTTTACAAGAATCAATATTTCAAAGGAAAAAAAAGAACTGAAAATTGATTAATTTATTATATATTAATTACATATTTCATAAAAAAAATAAAACATATACCATCAGTAAATACCTTAACTGATTAATATATATATATATATAACTAATATACATCTTTAATTATCAATAAGTGAAGCATGAAAATGGAAAATGAGGGGTGATACGTACCGTACTTACCCTCAGAAACCGCCCTCTCTGGTTTTCTTTTAGGTCAAGATAGTAGCGGCGGTTTTCTTTCACCATCTGTTCACTTTTTAATTTCCCATCCTCGGGCAAATTATCAGAAAATTTGGTGCTAATTAAGGAGGGCCTTTTTTCGCGTGGTATTAATTTACAAAAAATTTTCCGAAAATATAAATGTAAGACATGTGACAGTAATTAATTTTCAACATGCGGAAAACGTTTTCTGTGGAAAAAAGTACGTCTACAGTATTATATGTACTGTAAATGTATGCTAAACAGTAAACAACCAGTTATAATTTATTTTAATTGCATATTTTGAGTGAGACTAATTGATGAAATTTCCCAAGCTTTTCTAGCAAATTCAAACATATTCTGGGTACTTTACTTCATCATATTTTACGGCATTTCTTGTGGAAAATAATAAACTTACGAGTACACTGCTTTGAAATTCCATGGATATTTAAAATTTTTGTGGCTTCAAATTTTAAGTAAATATTTACCACATTGAAAAACCATGTCTACTTTAGTTTTCACCAATACACAGTGTACATAAATAACCCAAAATTGACTCAGAAATTTCAGATGTACTAAAAAATATGTAGAGGTTTAAACATTTAACATGATGGCATACAGAAACATAAAGCCATAGGTCATCTCATTGAATCAGATAGTCTTACTAAACATACTACGGTAAATGCAGCAGGAACTAAGAACACAATTACCGGGGTAATTGGGATTTTTCTTTTTGTATTAAAAAAAAATTAAAATAGAAGCCTCTTAGACATATTAAGAATGTTTTAGAGAAATATCTCAGCCAGCTACTCTAAGAATTTCAAGTTAAAATTACCAAGTGATGCATAATGTTCGCTAAACTCTGTCAGGTAGTCTCTGAATTCAGCTGCTGTAGACATAGCCAGGAGGAGACGACTCTTCTTACCTCCTGCTCCAACCTGAAATAAAAAATTCCTCCTTGATAAAAGTATTATATTTTGACAAAATTTTAATGCATATCAAATTGACAAGGTTTGATGATTCTATATTTTACAATATGCAAAATATAATCTAGATACAATCTAGTTATAGAAAGACATAATACTACAACATTAGGTCAGAGACCTATACTTCTGGATCATGTTGGCAAGGTTTGAAAATTCTACTCTACATATCAGGCCACCATTAAAAATATTTTTGTTTGATGTACTCTGACCCACATTTTTCAAGGTGGGTAGGTAGGTAGGTAGTTGTTTTTTTTGCTTAATAGTATTGATCAAATTGATAATTAACAGTCGTAAAAAAGAATTACAAACTCAGAAATTTATTGATGTTTTCAATACCCACTTGTTAACTAGACAGATTTTATATTTATTTCTATGAAAATTTTCAATCTAAAAACATCCAAGAAAAATTATATATACCTTAATAGCTTAAAAATGAAACAATCTCTATTTCATATAAAACAAAATTAAAGAAATTAAAAATTCAAAGTGCTAAAAAAATGATTGGGTAGGGGCGAGATTTTGATGGGTTGGTCAGAGTACATCAAACAAATCATTTTTTATTGTTGGCCTCATGGTGTACGAGATAAGACTTAACTTATAAGCTATATATGATCTGACTATTTATAGCAATAAAATCTGAAAATTTTCATTAAAAGTTGGGACACGATTCCCAAAGAAGTAGCTTTAACTGACATAGTCCTTTTCAATACGATTTTGTTTTACTGGCCTATAGGACTTTTCATAAATCTCAGACTGCAAAAATAAAAGTATACCGAAGGCTGAATTCTCACTTCTTGCATACATATATATTGTTACCTCTATCGTTTTAGGCGGGAGTCTACCGCTTTTTCACTCCATCTCTCGCCTACCACTTTTATTCGCAAATCTATCACTTTTCTGTAAAAGTTTTGTTGAAACAGTTTTCGGTTTGGGTATGCTTTTTGTAAACAGCTATATATCTATGAACACTTGATTTACCAAATTACACCTATGGTTAATTCACATGTACCAGTATTGAACTTGCACATCACAGTCATCCCAAACACTAATATTAGTTTTATTTTAGCACCTTTTGCAGGAAATTTAAGACTCCAACAAAAATCAATAAAAAAAACTTAAAGCTTCTGTCACGATAAATGAATATAACACTCACACTTTTTGTGTGACTGATTTTATTTTTGAAATTTCCTTTTTAACACTCACTTGGCCACAAAAACTTAGAAAGATCTCATTAGGTAATGCAGGCCTTATTAGAAAGACAGCAGTGTTTGAAATAATCGGCACGCGATGGCCTAAGCCGCTCAAATTTTGTAACGGACAAACAGATTTGCAAGTATTGAAGCCTGGCTGGATGTGTAAAAAATTTCCATTAATTAAAATTCAGATATTTGATAAAACTCTCTCAAATTAATTAATAATACTGGTTGCAAAGTGAAACAAGCAAACTGGTAGAGTTCATCAGCCTATAGGACTGATTCGGAATCAAATATATAAGTGAGCTGGCTCCATTCACATTACTGCTAAAACGAACTTTTAAAAGACAATTATTTATTCAGGGCTAGTACATTTTTGGCAGGGTGGACAACTTTCACTACATGTAGCAATCAGCCATGCATGTCTAGCTAATTTTAGAGTCAGTTTCAAACACTGAAGATAGCATAGATTTATGTAAGTTTCATCATTGTGTGTATGTAAGTATTAAAGCATAGCTGTCAACTTTGCTTCACATATAGTATTTGAAAACCATTGGCTACATGTTTTCTCCAATCAACATATTTATAAGTGTGTCATTATATATACTGGTAAGATTGTATCAATTAGCAATTAACCTCATTTAGAAATTTTGATCTTGTTACTGATCTGTGGAAACAACAGATCACATGAAAGCAACTGAATTAATGCTTATTTATTGATATGCATCTCATATATGAACAACGTAGAATTCCCTGTAAGACACACACTTCAGATTGGAAAATGGCCTGCTCCAGCATTCAATTCATATAGTTCAAATGCAACATCTGATGCAAATTTCATCTTAATAAGTACTCCTAATCTATGCATCTTTGAAAGAAACAAATAATAGAACTGTTGGTACTAATACTTGGAAGTTGAGAAAGAAAGAAGTCAACGCATATGGTTGCAAAATTTCTATAAAATTTAATAAAGGGACATCACTCTCCATTTGATCAAACTTGGACCCCTTTACCCAAGATGCTTTACAGCAAGACACTCTTCCTTAAGTAATTAAAACCCTCAGGTGAGCCTTTGGCTTTGGCTGTCTTAAATAAATTGTGTCAACAGAATCCAGGTCCATGTATAAATTTTGGAATTAATTATTGTACATTTCAAATGACAAACTGCCAAGGTTTGGTTTTCATATCTACCTCCAGATCTCAATGCCTGATTAGGACTGTCTATTCTTTGAAAAGGTGATCAAATTTGAGACCAGTGAAATCTGTTCCTGACTTCTGTAACAGTTAACTATCTATAGTAGAGACATATGAGCAATTTGTCTCTTTGGTTAAACATGACATCATGTATCTATGTAGAGTGGGAGCTTCAGCAAATTCTCAGGAAAAAGGTTCTTGATATTTCAGAGGAATCAAGAAATTGGTACATGTATGGTAATATTTCATCTAAACTAATGCATTTTACAAATGCTCATGTTTGTGATACCAAAAACTGTGACAATTAAAAATTTAAAAATAAAATAAAATCACTTTGATCTTTTCTTGACTTTCAATTAAATGAATCATTAAATTTCCTACAAATAGTACAGTAGTGTCAGTAGTGGGAGCACTGTTAAAGCACATGTTTTTTGCCTTATTAACTTCCTTTTCAAAATTCCCCAGAAAAAAATAATTTACAACAAATCAAATCCATGCATGCTTGGTTTTTGTTCTTTGACTTAGGCACTGAGCCTTGTCTGCGTTTCAACAAAATCTGAGTACACATTTGCTAAAACATTAACCAAAATGTACAGCATCAAACAGTTCAATTGTTTGTTATTAGATAATGATCAATATAGATGGAACAAGGTCACTGCAAAGTGGAGCGCATCCTATCTTCCATTACACAACACTCACCCACCCACATACAAACCCACATACAAGCAAGCGTATTGCTTAAAAATGTTAGAATACACCTCTTTTGTGATAGAATTTTAGAAAATTGTTTTGACTTTTAAATGACATTGGGAAAAAATTCAAGCTCAACCATTTTCATGTTTAAAACATCATTTTCTTGATGTTGTGTTAGAGGGTCTTTCTTAATGTTGCATGAATATGAGGATCTTGGAAACAGATGTTATACAAGTGACAAAACTCTTCTCTTAACAGTAATTAAAATATTTCAATTTTGTCACCATATGCATGAAGAAATATATTTCCAAACTGTTTAAAAATGACTGGAAAAAGCTAGATTATGGATGCTGAAAATTTAATCATTCATTCATATTGTATAAAAACATTCGCAAGATTTTGTTGTACATTGCTACTGTGAATGAAAATTTTTAATGGGAAAAAACAAATCAAAATCAAAGTTAAATTTTCAGAAAATATCCTTGTTAAAAACATCTTTTAATTAAACACTTCTCTATATACATCTAAAATTACTTGTGACATAAGCATAACTACATGGTCATAGTACCACTTCCCCAAAATGATATAAATATCCTTTCATTTCTCAAAAACCAATAAGCAGTTGTAAAGTAATTCAACTGAATACTGTACCAATGAAACTTTTCCTGACCTTGCAATGACAAAGTGCAAGTTCTACAGTGTAGTCTGAAAACAAACCTCAGCGATTTTGATGAAGCGGCCTCGTCTGTTTTGCTTGACGTCCAGATAGAAGCGCTTGGACTGTATCTGGAGAGTCCTTGTAGCCAGCTCCTGCTCCCCTGACCCTAAAAAACACAATAATCAAAATATTAAAGAAGTTTTAATGAGGTAAAGCAAGGGATGTGTATTTAAATCAAAATACATTGTGATGCAAAAAGCAATATGTGACATATTCTTTGGGCAATTTATATTCATTCCTTCATAAAAGTTTAGGGATATTTTTGAAGGATTATGCAATTTAAAATATACTCAACAAAAAAAAGAAACGCATATTGCTTTACTCATCAAAGAAATTTTTCAAATGTACATGGAACAACTATCTTTTATATCATTGGATACCTGTGACCTATTTAAAGGACAACATGGGCTTTTAAAACCCAAGTGTTGAATTATCTCCCCTGATTAAACGTGTTTATGAAAGTAATGTTTTTCATGAATTCTTCTAAATCGGACGTCTATTTTCATTGATATTTTGAATTTAGGGAAACTATTAATACTCCTATTAAACCCATATTTAAGATTTGATTGAAGTGTTGATGCTGCAATGCCACGCCGAAACAAAGATGAACACAACCAGGCTAACGATGCTATTAAACGGAGCTACGCAACAGGAAGTTGCAACTGCATTTGGAATACATCAATGGGCTTTGCAGCCGTTAAGCTAACGTCGGAAGACCAAGAATTGGCCGTCTGCAGGTAACCAAGCAGGACCGTCTGATCCCCTCCCCCTTCAGCACCTCACGTGATTCAGAACTTGCTGTAAAGACTGCTGCTACAATTGCTGGATGAAAAAATCAGCATAAAAGTGCATAAATTGTTCGCAAGAGACTGAGAGGAGCTGGTATTCGTGCACAACATCCGGACATTGGAAATCCACCAGCGCTTATAGTTAGTCGTCGCAAAGGACATAGGGATTAGTTAAAACGGTATTCCCAAAGAATTTGGAGGCGTCGACAATGACATAAACTTCACTTTTCTACTCGCAACACATGATAAGTTTAATTTTTATCAAAACCCTCTAAAATCACTTTTACAAAAATAAGGATTAAACTGAAAACTTTGATTATCAGGTTTAATCTGAATATGCGTTTCTTTTTTTGTAGAGTATATATCTTGTTATTCTTGTCAAACCATCTCCTTGAATTGCATAACATTTTCCCTTCACTTTGTTGTTTATTTCATATTTTGCAATTTTCAGTGATTTGGTCTTTTTTATAAGTAATTTAATGGAACACCTTGATTTAAATTCTAAATGTGCTTTTTAAACTTTAAGACTTGAGTATTTTGGGTTATTATGGTTATGTTTTTCTCAATCATGTTAGCATGTACGTATAATGCCTAAATAGCAATGCAAATGTAAATTGTGTCCTTATGTTCAAGTGAATGGTTTATTCATGTAAACCGAGTCCTTCATGTGAATGGTCAATTTCTTATTATTGCTAATCATTAAAACAACATAGGAAACATTAAGCTTCAGAGCTTGAGCCAGAAGCTCTGTACATCAATCTATAATAAATAATTTGGAATCAAAATCTGAGAAAAATTACAGAAACTCTTTACAAATAAAATGTGCTGCCTTTTTTTATCAGAGTTCATCTTCTGAAGAAAATTTCCAGTATCTCTAAAAACTTTTTCTATCGCTATTTTTAAAAAGGGGGAGGGGGAATTCCAAGTGAATTCTACCATGTAGCCAAGTTTAGTAAATATAAAATTCCCATAAATTACTGTTTTCCGTACATAAATAAACCAATATGATTTGACACTGCAGTTAAATTCTGTCACTTGTATTTCATTTGCGTGGGTGCTCACGTTTACTGACAGCTTGTGTATGTAACAAGTCCTTGATTAAGGTTTCAAAATTACAAGCAGACGTTCACTTCCTCCTGTCACCGAGGTCATGCATACTTTCGCCGGCTTGTCCATATCATGAGGCCCACTTGCAAGTAAATGTGGAAAAGACTAAGAAAATAACCCCTTTCCTGCATAAAACGCAATGTAATTTCCCAAATTCGTGCTCTTGTTTAAAATGTCATAACAATCTAAAACGTCAAGGTACGCCATGTTGGATTTTCCCGTACAAGTGGTGGCGAACTTTCTGATTCAGCATATTATACGCTGTTCAAAGATAAATAAACTATAGTCTAATAAATGCAAATGTCCAATAACGGAGCCTCAAAAAAGATTAAAAAATACCAAATATGGCATGGCTTTTCTCTAAAACATGGAAGTTGACAGGGAAATGCACTTTAACGTACAAACGACAGTTTCTTCATTTTCTCGAGGATCATGAGAGAAATAAAGTCATTGGCAACTACAGAACAGCGAAAATAAGCCTAAAATAAAATAGTAAGATTGTAATAAGTACCCTGAGCCTGCTGCTCGTCACCACTCTCACGATCCGACATGGTGCAACCCTTCCTGTACTAGCCGAAGCCTCCTTCCAATCCCTTATGAATTATTCATGAGGTCAAATCGTAATACACATCGAAAACGGAAGTAAGACTAATGTCGTTCGTATCCAGAAAATATTTATTCTTTATCAATCTTCTTTCATTAATAACATTTTCAAAATGCATATTAATTTAAAAAATGTAATTTGGGGAAATTAAATATTTAGATAACATTATGCTATGATTTTACGACTACCTTCCTAAGTTCGTCAGCGCGGGATCTTTCGAAAACTTTTGCAGAAGGAGTATCGAGCATCCTAAAACAGGGTTTGTAAAGTTAATGATTTGATTTTGATACATCATCTTTACTCTAGAAGTATGAACATCCATTTTGATGGTAACAGTCCAAAGTATTCACAATATGAATATAACAGTAGACATGAATGTCCCAAGACACTTGTTTCTACAGGGCACCCTTCTTGATTCTTATTTCATTTATATACAATGTAGGGATAACAATATAAAAATCAAGTTATCTCTCAGACAGTAACACCTTACCTCTTTTCCTTCAGGCACGTAGCATCGGTTTGAAAGGGGGGGGGGGGCACAGAAATTTTTTTAATTTTATTTTTACTTACCTGATAAGTTGACAAGCAAAAAACAAAAACAAAAAAGTTGACAAGCAAAAAACAAAAACAAAAAAAAAAGTGTGTGTGTGTGTGTCGAAAATCCTATTTCGTGGGGGGGGGTTGGTTAAGGGCAAACTTTTTTCACTATAATTCCTTTCAATATCAATTTCTAAGTTACAATACTGTATTTCCTTCATGTTACTTTACTTTAGTATAAAGTGGGGGGGGGGGGCTTTCAATGAACATTTTCAATGGTAAAAGTGTTGGCAAAAAAAGTGGGGGGGGGGGGGGGGGCAGCCCCCCCCCCCCCCCCCGTTGCTACGTGCCTGTCCTTGACTCTGAAACCTTTTCAACATGATCTTTGAACTAGAGTTCGGAGTTTAGTACTGCAGAAAATGGACTCAGGAAGTCAGGCTAACTGCAAATTTCGAAATTCTCATCCAAAATCATCTATTCTCTTTAGAGAGAAGGGGACAGGCTTGCGCCTACATACATGTAAACTGGACTCGATATTTGTCGCCAATTTTGACCTTTTGACTTTTGATGTCTATCTATCAAGGAAGAAATGACAGATTAAAAAAAAAGATCTCTATCCGCTGAACGTATACTAACATGCACCATTGCTGATATCGAACTTACATGTACAACCACTTCCGCACTTTGGATCCAGTATATTTACTAAGCTTACCCAATGGAATTACTATAAAACTCTTTATATGCATGATTTATGAGGTACATAGACTTCGATATTTCTAATATCATGATATCACATGGATATTTATGTCGAAGTGAATTGAAAGTCCTATTGGCTAATGATTAACCTCTATTTGCAAAAAAATTTTTGATATTCGAGATATCGAGGCTGAAATATTGTATTTTAGCCTCGATATCTGGAGGTTTGTTTTTCTCTTTGCCCATCTGAGTTCGAGATAACAAGGTCTGATCAGACGTAATGTAATAGATAATTTTTGCCAGAAAGCAAGTTTAATAGTTATGCAGATGGGCACCATTTAAAAAACAAGAGGCCCATGGGCCACATCGCTCACCTGAGAAGCTTTGACCATTCTGTTCTTTACCAGATTTCCCCCTTTTAATACATATTGGGACCTCACCCTACCCCACTGATCATAATTTAAACATTTTGAAATCTACACTACCCCAGGATGCTTCCATGTGCACATATTATAAGTTTCAGCTTTTCTGGCCCAGTGGTTCTTCAGAAGAAGATTTTCAAAGATTTTCCTATATATTTCTATGTAAAACTCTGATTCCCCGTTGTGGCCCCGCCCTTCCCCCGGGGATATGATTTGAACAATTTAAAATCTACACTACCCCAGGATGCTTTCACGTAAGTTTCAGCTTTTCTGGCCCAGTGGTTCTTGAGAAGAAGATTTTCAAAGAATTTTCCTAAATATTTCTATGTAAAACTTTTATTCCCCATTGTGTCCCCGCCCCCCCCGGGGGTCATGAATTGAACAATTTAGAATTTACACTATCCCCCGGGGGCTTTTCTCATGATTTGAACAATTTTTCAAAGATTTTTCCTATATATTTCTACAAAACTACCCCAGGATGAATTGAACAATTTAGAATTTACATTATACCAATTTAGGATCTACATTATACCAAGATGCTTCCACATATGTTTCAGCTGGCCCAGTGGTTCTTGAGAAGAAGATTTTTTAATGACCCCGCCCTATTTTTGTCTTTATTTGATTATCTCCCCTTGTGAGGGGACTTGGCCCTTCATTTTAACAATCTAAATTCCCCTTTACCCAAGGATGCTTTGTACCAATTTTGGTCAAAATTGGCCCAGTGGTTCTTGAAAAGAAGTCGAAAATGTGAAAAGTTTACAGAAGGACAGACAGACAGATGGACGACGGACAAAATGTGATCAGAAAAGCTCACTTGAGCCTTCGGCTCAGGTGAGCTAAAAATAATTACTTATTTTCATTAGTGTGTGGTAAACTTGTTGCATGTATGATCTTAGGATACACGTATGCATTCATTAAAAAGATTGAAATCTATCTTAAAAACAGGGAGAAATCAGAGGTTTGGAGCATACGGCTACAGGAAGTTGCAAAATGTCATCCAACTCATCAGGTCAAAGTATCAAATTTAGTGTGGAGTTCCGAGACACTGTATACAGAATTAACCCGGACTATTTGTCTTGTAAGCACAAAGTCTTGTTCGAAGACAACGCAACAGACACCCTTAGGGACCAAGGCAGCGAACCTCACCTCTCTTTGTCTACAGATTTTGCAGATGGCAGGAAATCATTTTCGGATATCACCAAATCTGATAGTCCCTCCAAGTCTGTGTCAAATATTGAGGAAACTTTCTCTGACTCTGCGATAAGAACTTTACATAGTAAACACTTTTCAAACGACCGCAAGGTGCGCTGCATCTCTCTCTCTCTCTCTCTCTCTCTCATATTTTGTGAAGTATAAAGATCGTCTTTTCAAAATAAAACAAGAAACACCTATACATGTATATGGCAATTATGTTTCTTCCACTACTGAACATAAAGTCCCCCTTCTCTTGTTTCAGGGACTAAGAGGCTGGGAAGTTTGTTTAAGAACACATTCTGCACAGTCTTGCCATTATCGAAAACTGAGGTCGGATCACAAAGATCTTCAGCGAAGCAGAAGTCTCTCCGCCAAAATAAATTCGACCAGACGTGAGAAGTTTAAAGTTTCCAAAATTTCCATCTTTTCCCCTGGGACATGCAGTAGTCGTCTTAGTCATCGAGACTCCTTAGAAAACACTAACAAGAAAGATAACGGACACGCCCACTCTTCCTCCGCCAGTTTGATTCGAGGGAGCTATTACTGTACACCGGGCTATGTTACGACTATTCCAAAGCCTATTTCATACAAGTTCAAACACTTTGAGTACACCAGTAACTACATCGAACAATACAGGTAAAAAATTAAAATAAGTAGTGAGTATAAATTTATAAAAGCACAAACATGTTTCTTGAGTATCTAGTAAAGAAAACAAGTGAATTTATTTTTGTAAATAAAGCTGCAATTATTAATGACAATTTGAAAAAAAAAATGTTTTTTTCCAATTATTCATGTTATTCATAAGACATAATAAAAAGTACAGTTACCGTACATCAAATGTGTCACGTATAAAAGTGAATGGTCTACAAAACTTCATTTTAAGTTTAATTTTGTACATTTCTCTATGTACACAGGAATGAATACACGTATCCACGCCTAGTAGAACCCCCTAAGCCTCCCCCGTCAGGTTCCTGTAATTGCGAGGTTAAAGGTGAGGTAATTCCAGGCAAACAGCCGGAGTTCCAATGGGTGGAGCAATGTCAGGCCTGTTCCAGACATCAACAGGAGGGCCATAGTTCTAGTGGACTCACCATCAACAGCATCAGTAGTATCAGTACATCCAGCCAGGTAATCAACGTCATCAGTACATCCTGTTAGATAATACAGTATATACAACCAACGTCATCAGTGCATCCAGTCAGGTAACACAGCATATACAATCAACAGGAATAAGTTGGTACATCATGTTAGGTAATCAACAACATCAGTACATCCAGTCAGGTAATCAACGTCATAGGTACATCCAGTCAGGTAACCACCGTCATCACTACATCCAGTCAGGTAATCAACGTCGTCAGTTCATCCAGTCAGGTAATCAATGTCATCAGACAGTGCATCCTGTCAGGTAATACATATAAACAATCAACGTCAGAAATACATCCAGTCAGGTAAAAAAAAAATGAACAACGCCATCTGTACATCCAGTCAGGTAATACAGCATAAACAATCAACTTCATCAGTATAACCAGTCAAGATCCCTCACTGCTCAAAGGCCCTGAGTGCCGAGCATAGGACAAAATTTGTAGCCCTCCACCGGCAAGTGGTGGCGTCTCCATATGAGTGAAAAATTCTCGAGAGGGACGTTAAACAATATACAATCAATATACAATAACCAGTCAGGTAATAGTGTATACTATCAACACCATCAATACATCCAGTCAAATGATACAAAATATACAATCAACAGCATCAGTACACCCAGTCAGGTAATGCAATATAATATATACACAATATACATGTATACACAATCAATATATACAATCAAGAAATACTCTTCAGCATACACTGTAGTTGCATGCAGTTTCTGTTTAAACCCTTTACTGTTTCATGTGACCTGTGAATTACTTGCAGGGACCGGACCGATCTCGGCAGACGCCTCACCATCTTCTTGCTCACAACGGCGTTTTGAAAACGGAGTTCTACAATAACCCTTTGATGATAGACAACACCAAACTGGAGCGCAACAAGACGCCAGCTCTGAGCAGGAACAGGCCAAGCATCTTATCCACAGTCAGACCCGTCTTACACCCCAACTCCTCCGTGGCCCTACCCGTCAAAAGACCCACGTACCAACCCCAGTCCCATAAATAAAATGTTTAAACAGGGGCATGTCCCATATCCGTCAAAAGTGTCACGTATCAACCCCACTCCAACAAATAATATGTATTTGTCAGGGACACACCTCATATCCGTCAAAAGGCCCAACTCCAGTCCAACAAATATGTATTTATTAGGGGCACACCATATCCGTCAAAGGGCCCATGTATCAACCCCATTCCAACAAATAATATCATTTATGTTTTTGTCACAGATATGAATGACTTGTTGGTATTTAAACAGTTTATTTATTGACTTTGTTGGAAATGTTTTTTTTTCAATAAAGGATGGAACGTAAGGTATTTGTTGGAATTCTTCTGAAACGATTGCAATAAAGCATTTGAACCTCGTCAGTACCATTACTAATATATTAAATCAAGGCATATGACATATTTTTTTGAGCTACTAAGAAATGGTGTTTTCGAGAAATGTGAATTTCACGAAATTCTAATCAATAAATTATAATGACATAAAGCTTTAAATGGACACCTTAAAGGAATTTTTTTTTTCGCCGTTAGATATAAAGTGGCGCATAGTTCATCCGGACGCTTCTGTCCCGAACGAAATCATCCGGATAAAAAATTAATCGCTACTCAAAAAACTCGAAGTATGTACATATTTACATACGATTACCAAATGAGGAGGCAAAGAAAAGGAACTTTCATGCCTTTTTTTTTTTTTTTAAATTTATTATTTTTTTTTAATGCTATAGTTTTAAAAGAAATGATTCATTTTTTAAAAAAAATGTATTTACCACAGGTAATTCTGAATACAAATTTACCAAGAAATCGAACATTTGTTACTCGTTTCAACTTCTTCATTGTTGTACAGAAGACAAGATCCTTTTATAGGGCAGAATATAACTTTAATAAATAGATTGTATAATTATTCAATATATTATATTATGCAACTTTTTATATTAATACAAATGATTAAACTGACATCAAATTGACCCATTTCTTTCAGTTTTTGCAAAAGTACGTAAACACTAAGTCTTCTTAGGGCGAAAATTGACGAAATGATAACCATTTTCAAGTACTGTACTTAGTATACCGGTATTTTAATATCTCTTCAAACCATTCATGAAATTAGAAACAAATTCCAACATAGAAAATTCTATTATTCATTTCTTTTAAGATACAAAAACTTTAGTGGATAAAATTTTGTAAATATGTAGACACTTCTCAAACGTCAGGAACACACACTCATACCCGTATGAGTATTAGAAAGGTTTCATATATACACATGATACATTCATTGGTGGATCTTTAAGATTTTTTTTGAGATCATGTAGGTTACTGTAGATTAAACGATTAGAGACAATAGTATATTGTTCAAAACATATTGGACTAAGAGTATGTACAAACATGCATAAATATGTAATATATCCTGCAAAATGAAAGTTACAAAATCTTTACAGGTGGCATTGTTGATCGGGTCTCTCTACATTCTCTGGTTCGTTTCCTTGCGGAACAGACATGTCGACACTCTTTTCATCCAAAGGACCGTCTTTTTCTTCTAATGATGGTAACGAAGTTTTACATTTTTCGTAGGTGACCACGACACCCAATGTTTGTATGTAGTAATTTACCACTGATCGAAATCTGTCGCTACAAAACATAAATATGTGAATCATTCTTATTATAATGTGCAATTTTGGCGAGAACAACTCAAGTAAAATGCTTACAGAAACCATTCCAAAGCAAAGAGGAGGGAGGCTGCTTCGGCAGGGATGTTGAGGGCTGTCAGTAGAATGATGACGGTGATCAGACTGGCTCCCGTGACAGAGGGAACTGCCAGCGTGGAGAAGGTGGTCAAAATGCTGTAATAGATTGGTCTTACTGAAGTCTTGGTTACTTTTAGTTTGAAAAATACAGTACCAACTCCCCTGCTCTGTGGAGGAGACAGCCAAAATGCTATAAAAGATCACCCTTACAGAACCCTTGCTTACAATAGGAAGTACATGGACTATGAACCCACCCCCTTTCCTTTCGAAAATAAGTTAAGTATTTACCAAACAATGACAACTTTCGCGAAGTCCACTTCAACGTTGACCAGCTGTGCCACAAACAAGCAGGACACTGTGATGTACATAGAACTTCCACATCGGCCCAGGGCGGCGGAAAGAGGAACGACAAAGCGGGTCACCCTTTTGTCTAGGCTATTCCCTTTCTCCAAACACTCAAAGGATTCCGGTATGGCGATGGCACTGAAAAAAAATATTCACTGTCTTGTGTCTCAATTTTGAAAAGTTTAAGGTTCACTATCCCTCTGAAAAGAGAGATAACTCTCGCCGAAATCAATGACATTTGTCAATTAGAAATGTCAGTTCTATCAAATTTTTCCCCACACGATTAATGTACATTTTTGTTAATATCATCAGTGTCAGAGCAAAATGTTACATGTTCTTACAGAGTTCGGAATGATGAACCTTAAATCTAATCGGCTACTCACGTGCTGGAGGTAGCAAACACTATCATGGTGGGTTCGAGAATAGAAAACCAGAATCGGAAGGGGTTTTTCCGACACACGATGAAGTAAGTGATTGGTTGAATGATAAATCCACAAAAAAGAAGCCCTGTCATCACGGTCCCAAAGTACACCCCTAACTTCCGCATGTCCTCCTCTAGGTTCTGGGATCCTGCTATGGTCCGTGCCACTAAGCTCAGTACCCCAACGGGAGTGGACCTACACAGTCATGAAAGTGTTGTGTTAGTTAATATACAACAGTAAAACACACAGATAGCAAACTGCCAGGGAAGACGATGTTGCTTCGATATAAACGAACTGTTTTGTTTTGAACATAATGTTTTAAATGAATCAAGCGGATTGGAAACAAGTTATTAAAACTTATTGGCTTTTCTCCTTAAAACGAACTGTCGTGTCCGTTAAGTTTACATTATATTCTAAAGTCATGGAGAATGAAAATTGTTTTTGCTTTAAGCGTGTTCGCTATATGCATGTTTTACTGTATTACGAAACTTTTTTTTTCTTAATAAAAAAAAAATCTCCATATACATTTAATTCAAACATAATGGAACGAAAAAAGTACCGACCAAATTAACCAGCGAAGAATCCTGAGGATGATCTCCGTGGCAGAACTGAAGAAGAGTTTAAAGGGAAGGCCCACGTCCTTCATATGACTGGTTGCGAGTCCGAACACCGCACTAACAATGACCAAACCTGTAGAAGTGAGTTATGTGCATACATTTAAACTTAAAAAGTTAAATTTTCATATCAAAATAATAAGTAAGGCAAAGACAAGGAAAGAGTTTACTTCGTATTTATTCAAAATTCGTAGGAAGCTTGGAGGGAGCTAAAAAGAAATTTCAGGAGACACATCCGTAAATCAGTTCTGTACTCTATATTGGCAAAGTGTTTTTGAGATATGGTACAACTTTCTTTAAGCTTTCTTATCTTTGATAAAATGTATAATCAGAAAAGTCTTACCCAGTATATTGGAGCTAGGAGCGGATCCAACACTCTTTGTGACAGTCGTAATCGACACATTAGGATTGTTATTTGACGGAACCTTTTCATCATGATACTTGGTTTGTGCCTGTTTTGTATATAAAAATGAAAAGGAATGAAGTTAAAAGAGAAACATGAAACAGGGATCCAAGAATTTAAGAAAGGGTGTGGTGACCATGCAAGCACCGCAAGAGTCAACAGTAACCTGAAAAGATTTAATCTGTATGTTTAAAAAACTTACTTGTTCAAATGTTGCCGCAACTAAATTCGAAGGAACCAAATTTCTATAATGGAAACGTGCATATGTCTATAGTAAAGTAAGTTAAGTAACATAATACGTGTATATTACAATAAATTTTTGAAGTATTATTTGCATTAAATTTCAAGTCTTCACTATATATAAATGTTCAAAAATATTTTTCATTGAAAAATATTGCCTTTAAACAACCAACTACAGAAGCCATGAAAATATTAATCAAATTCCAGTCCCCTTAAGTTTTTTTCCAAATTTATTCAAAAATTAAACTTTTTTAATAAGTCGAGGAAGCACAAAACAATTTCTTTTTTTAAATGGTGGCAATCATCTGTCAAAAATAGAAAGAGCTAATATATGTTTTCCTGCTAAAGAGGAAAATACATGCGTTTGATTTTAAGATCAAAGTTCAATGTTATGTCATTTCAATATAAATCATTGGATAAAAGAGAAATAGCACGAGTGCAAATAACATTATCTTTATATTATATGAATTTACTGAATTCTAAGTACTGTATTTCTCTTCAACGACTTGGATAGTAATAATTTCATTACGCATCATCATGTAACATTTATAAGTCTCTTACATATATTTTTTTATGTTACCTCAATAAATCTGCAAATATGTCTTGTGTTTCCAGGTTTGTGGTCAAATTATATTGGCTTTTAGCGTCTGAGACACCCTCACCTGTTGGAAAATAAAAATTACTTTGCCAATGAGAAAAAATACAGTCGAGCCTCAATATCTCAAACTCCATGGACTGCGATAAACTTCGAGATACCCGCGGTGATTCGAGATATCGAAGGTAAAATGCGTTAATAGGTGTTTTGGATTTTCTAAGTATTTCGACAAATCCAGAGTCTTCGAATTATTAGAGTTTGAGATTCTGAAGTTAAACTGTTACTCAAAGGGTTAGTATAGAAGAAAGTGCATCCACTTATATTCATGAAGAAAAGGTACTTTCTCTCCATGAATGACAAACATATAATAAATACAAAATTTTTAAAACTGCATTTCTTTATTCTTTGTGAAATTCTTTGTCAAAATATATAATTTACCTTCCATTTATTTTAAGGTCCTTTTCCCTAAAATTTTAGACCTTGAATTTGAAGAAAATCATATAGATATTTGTTTCATAATAATGAAATTCAAAATGTGCAAATAGAAATAAAAATTTCTTTGGCACTCGATCAGTGTTAGATAGTATACAATGGTATATAGTCGCTCGCGTGGTGCAGTGGTAGAGTGTTGATCCTTAATGCGTCACGGGTTCGATTCCCAGTGTGGAACCTGGAGACCAGTCCTTCGAATGAGACCATATAAACCGAGGTCCCGTGTCCAATAAATGCAGACACATAAAAAATCGGACGATCCCTCACTGCTCCATGCCGAGTATATATATACAGAGTTAATCAATTTGCAGCTCTCCGCTGGCAAGTGATGGTGTCTCCATACGATTGAAACATTCTCGAAAGGGACGTTAAACAACAAATAAACACACAATCTTTATATCTATAGTCTATCGGAATCCACCAAATGATCCCGTCAACTGTACATCGCTTACCTGGTTTGATGGCCACCACAAGGATGCTCCCTATAATCGTGGGCGCCATATTGGTGATCATTATGTAAACGAGGCAGACAGCGCTTACTTTCCCGTTGGATTTTGGATCCATAGAAGCTGTCCCTGTGAATTATGGAAAAATGCCCATTGACCGCAACGCTCACCCACATCAGCATTTTTATACTGAAAGTGTTTAAAGCAAATAACACAATTATTAATTTTGATTTAATAAAGTTATTATTACTATATTACATCACCTGTTATGACGGAGGAGACGATAAGAGGTACAATCATGGAGGTCAACATCCTCAGATAGAGTTCCCCCGCCATTCCTACAAAAATACGTAAAAAGATGAACATAATGAAATACAAATAAAGTCGACTTTACTTTTGGAGAAAGAATTTTTATAACTAGTTCGTATATATTTAAAGTCTTCCCTAGTATTTATTCCACATTCCTTTTTATTCCCCAAGCCGTAGCGAAAGATTTTGAGACATTGTTTTAGTTCCGTCCATCTGACTGTCTGTTAATATGCTGTTTGGTTTTTTTATTGCAAAACATAACTTTGGAATGGCTGATGATGGAGCTTTCTTTCACACATGGTTTCTTTGTAAAAAAAAACTTTCTTTCGTTCGTAACACATTTGACATTTTGATCTTGAAGTTTGACCCACTAGCTACCGGTATTTGCAAAACGTTATCAAACATTAACCTTTGTCATAAAGTTTGAACAGTCGGTACTAGGGTTTTCAGATATGTTTTTCTTGTGGCAAGACCTTCTCTTCGGGTAACAACGTCTTTAGTCCTCTCACCTTGACCTTTGAGTTTGACCTTCATTTGTAAAATCTAACTGATAAATTTTGAACCGTTGGTGCTAAAGTTTTCATTTTTAACATACTCGTTCCTTGTAACAAGGCCCCTCCTTTGATGCCAATATTATTTTTACCTCATGAACTTGACCTTGGGCCTATTTAATAATTTATAAATTGCCCTTTAAGCTAGCTACATTTTCTGAATGGTGTTAGAGTTTTCATATTTCGCATGGATATCTGACATGCAATTTTTTGTGACAAGACCTTCCTTTAAGAAGGAACATTTTAAACTACATGTATATACTAAACCAAGTAAAAGCAAGTGACCTTGACCCCCCCCCCCCCTACAGAGCGGACACCCCTCCTCTAAAACACGGATCTACGTAATATTGGTATGAAAAGTCATAATTAGTATGAAGCTTTGAAAGTCATCCACTAACCCCCCCCCGCATGTATTAAGTTTTTTTAACGTTTGAGAATGATTTTAGGCTTTTTCCCTGCGTTGGATTTTTTTAGACAGGGGTGGACCCCCCCCCCCCCCGGAAAAAAATTTCTGGATACGCATCTCTTAAATGTCTTTTTTTAAAAAAAACAAAAAAAAAGCTCATCAGGCAGCAATCAAATGTTTAAAATCAAAATTCCCCCCTCTTATTCATTCATTTCATATTTGTCCTTTTTGGTCCCGGAGAGGGTGGGGGCAGAGGGCCTCAACAACAATCCTCCAGCGCACCCTATTTTGGATTTTTTTCAGTTGTCCCAAACTTAGTCCATGTACTGCCTGTATGATTTTCTCTTACCACAACCACAGGCCTTTGGGTCGCTTAAAAAATTGTGTGCATGTGCAAAAACACCTTAACTTTTTTATAAGCGATCTGAAGGCCTGTACGTGACCACAATCTTCGCTAAGTTGTTCTGGGACGCCCAACTTGACGTTGGTCCGGGGGGGGGGTCCACTCATGCGCGTGGCATTAGGGCTGTATCAATATATCGATATATCGATACGTATCGATATTCAAGAAAAATTACTTCCAATACGTATCGGACAAGCAGTTTTTCTTCTAATTTTGCTAAAAAGGTGGAAATTATAATCAGCAAAGATTATATTTCACTTTTTTAATTAAAACTGATCAATAATTATAGATTTATAAAAGAAATAACACAGGTTTTATAGTTATGATAAAAATACATAACAATTTTATTTTAACATGTTGATTTTACAGTCATTAAAAGTTTCGATTTGAAGTGTTTTATTTACTGACTATGGGATAAGAACTTTGAAATGGGTAATAAAACACTAATTTTTTTTTATGAAATCCATGCATTAAATGAATAATAAGCCTTTTTTGATGTACTTGTTTTAGAATCCAATATATCGCATATCGCTTTAAAAAATATTGTATCGTATCGTATCGAAATTTTTTGCTCAATACACAGCCCTACGTGGCATGTATCCCAATTAATGGTTTTCTGAGGGTGCACCACTTATTAAAATGGTCCAAACAAAATATAGGATGCATTTGCAATCTATGCCAACACGCATTACTAGTACATGTAATTCGAAACCAAAAAATAAAACACGTTTCTATGTGCATACAACACTAAAAAAATTCCCTATTTACAAAGTGGCATGCAGTATTGGCTTTTTCCACCCATCAACATAAATATCTTTACTTTTATTTTTACCGAGCTCAGATCGGCATGACCTTTTATCCATAAGATGGGGTCATGTTGATCTAGACTTCTTGAAGGAACAAAGTAAACATGATTTTTATAAAGTTAAGGTGTAATTTTTTTTACCCCTGATGATTTTTTTTTTAAAAGATATGTATTTTCCTCGCTTTTGCTGTATTAATTTTTTAAAATATAAATTTGTATCAATAATTTTAAAATAATAATAACATAATAACAATGATAAAGAATCTGAATATAATCATACTTTTATATATAGTGTGCATTTTATGTTTAGATAATTGGATTTTTTTATATAGCAAATTACAAAAAAGCAATGCATCTTTAAAAAAAAAAAAACTTATTTAAATATATCTGGAAAAGAAATTTGTTGCTGATAAATAATTTATGCAAAATAGATTTGTAAAAAGACTGAATACACACACATGTCATATATTAAACAATCTTGATAAATGCACATAAAGAAAAATCACCTATCCACATGAGGCCATCAGCTGATGGATTGAATTCTCTGGCCACAAACCCTGCACCAAAGCCAAGACCGACTCCAATCATGGTCAAGATAAGCAGCAGGTTGGTCTTCACTATACTTATACATTTCATCTTTGTTTCTGCCATGTTAAATTCCGAACGATTTCAAGTTTTCAACCTTTTCGTTTTAACGAGGTCATCGTCTGCTGCGTTAAAACAGAGCCGAGGAGCGCTGAACTACTGCAAAGAAACTCATCACTGTGTTTATATATAAATGCCTAAGAGAGAGAGAGAGAGAGAGAGAGAGAGAGAGAGAGAGAGAGAGAGAGAGAGAGAGAGACTAGTTCATTTTACTTTGCTACTTTGCAGCATCATTCGCCTTAGCTTTCTGCTGATCAATTGCAAACAAATTGAAATGGGTCATTACAACGCATCTACAGCTGTTGGTTTATATATATTAACTTTAACGAATAATATCAGTAAATCTACCAAGCTGTTATTATTTTTTTTGAATAATTACTAGTAACCAATAAACGCAAGCCTAATATAATTCATATATGAAAGGTCCTGTCAAGGTTTTATTAAATTTCAATCGATCAGTGGAAGTATAGGTATTTTTATACTGAACGGCGAGGGGTCTGGGGCCGCTCAATGCCCCTAGTGGGTCCAGGACAGCAACCTAATAGGGGGTTCAGGGGGGGGAGCCCCCAAAATGGATTTTGATATCCCTGCGTGAAAATTTATGGTCCTCCAAAATACTAGTACAAAAATACAGAATTATGAGCCTCTTTATAATTAACTTTCATATTAAGTAGAAAATTCAAAAACATGTATCCTATCTTTAATTTACCCTTGGTTTTTAGTTTAAGTTAGAGAGTTTTTTATTTATTTTTTATATTTTGGTATAGTCAAATCAAAAGCATGAGGAAGAAATTTATCTATAAGGCTTTGAAAAATTATAAGACACAAATCAATGTTTCACAATGAATAACGAACAAATATAAGTGGTTTTTCTTCCAGAAAAGCAAGTCTATCTGTCTTTTTCTTTTTTTAAAGTTTTGTTTCTATATTTTTTTCTAAAAATATTTTAAGGTATCCGACCCACATTATTTTCATGTTTAGTAGCAGAATGTAAGAACGGGCGTGATCTATTTTTCATGACTTTGTCCTGTCATTGAAGAGTTGCCCCCCATTTGGTTTTACTCTATAGAAATCAATTTTTAAAAATCTTTCTGATGAAAAAATTAAATATCACTTAATCATTTTTCTATTCCTAATGATAAAATACACGTTTGGACCACAGCATTTCTTGATATTCCCTGTTTATTTATTTTTTTTTTTTTTCAAATTTACTTCTTTCCATAGACTTCTAAGCAATCTTCAATGATTAATTACTGCTTAGGTATTTTTTTAAAAGAATTTCTCTTGGAAACCCCCCCCCCCTGTTTTTTTTTTTTTTTTTTACTACAAAATGCTTTAAATTTATATCAAAGTATTTTATACACAACTGATATCTATAGTTTGAAAATTTGGTCCTAACATGGGTCGGAAATATGAAGTGTAGGCACGTGCCTTAAGTGCCTAAAACATGTATAGCTCTACGTACGCCACTCAACGTGTTTTCTTTCATAAATAACACTCTGCACACATTTAAAAAAATATCCATATGAAAAAGAGGTCATTTAAGAATCATAATTGATTTTTTTTTATTTTTGTTTATTTTTTGTAACTTTCATCTATTAATAGCTTTATTTGATTATATGTTCTAACATACATTTACAATGAAATATATATATGTATACTTGGTCCCTGAGAATAATCATATGAAAACAAAAAAAACGTTTTATTTTTCAAAAATCATTAATTGCTCTTTTACATTTTTTAATTTTATCCAGATGTATACATAAATCTCTGGTTGTATATCTCATTTCATCGTCACAAACCAAGGTGTAAATGTAAGATCCTCTCCCATTCTGGAGGAGAGCTATGAACGGACTTCGGACCGTGGCTTGAGACGATGTTGACAGTTCTCATCTGTATGTACATTATTTTCTATTTAATAATATCGAGAATGTGAATGTAAATTTGTACCTACCTTCTTCCTGTTTAGCATTCATATTACGAGATTAGTTGCATTTTTTTCAACTTAGTAAATATATTCCGGAATGCATAAACGGTATCGAGTTATAATTTAGAAACAAAACATTTTCATAACCTCAATTTCGTCTCCACGAACATCCGGGTCTCTTGTGCGTGAATTCGATTGCGCAGTGAATAATTTGTGTCATCGAGTATTTTCAAGGGGGATCCCAAGTTGTAATTTTATTTACAGAGTAAGTATATCAATCATAAATGAGAGTTTTATTCTATGGAAAACGTTCAGGTAGAATTGAGTCGTTTTAATTAGTTGGTATATTGGTTTCTAAGAGTAGAATGAACTGTGGTAGAAACGCCCGAAATAACTTTTCGTCGGACATTTTTCTCTGTAGAATATGTCTACTTATTATCGACCAGTGCATACAGTCCAAATTAAAACATCCAAACCATTAAATGTATATCACTGTACTTAGATTTAGAATATATGCTTACATTTAAGTTGATAATGAATGGAATTTGGAAAATTGCCAAATAAATTGTCTATGTATTCTTCTTTCAAGTCTAACATCTTGGACGGTAACCGATATATAGATATTTAAATTGTGAATATGTCGTAGTTACCATGATTTTCGTTTGCTTTTGAGCTTCTGTACTCTAAGTTATTACAGCAATGGATGAAAAAGTAGCCAATGACATATTGAATGGCAACAAATCAACAATATACAGCAACAGATAACATATACAATCAATATAAATAGATAACAGTGATATTTTATTCTGTTTAACATTGATTTAAATATTTGTTTAAAAATTGAAACAAGTTTTTGTGAAATTTTGTTGGCAGGACAAAGAAAATGCATCATTTTTTTTCTCAATCGCTGTAAATGAAGGGTTTGTAAAAGATTTGAATGAAAATTGTGTAACCCAAAACTGTATAACATATTTTTGTGCTCACCAGAATATGAAGTAAATGTTGTAATGAAACCAATGTACAAAAACTACTGAAAGGTAGAGAAGCAGTATAATATCTTTACAGTTTTGAATCACACTAAATACAGTTATGAGACTGTCTTCATTTATGTAAAATATTGATCTGACAGAATTTTGCCTTAACATCTGGTAGTTTCTTTTCAAAAAATTGATTTTTTTTTTGTATTATATATAGTACAACTGTAGAAATGAAAAAAGACAAAATGATTTATGTATACATAATGAAACAGTTTATTTGTAAATGCTTGTGGGTACTAGTGTGTTTTGGTAAAAAAAATTCTGTTGCATCAATGTGCAGCTTAACAGATTTTCTCTTTGACAAAGAATTGAAGCACTCAATATGATCCTCACTATACCCTATTTATCCTACTTACAACTTTCATTTTACAGGAGCAAAACGTATGTTTTAATAATGTTCACTTTTGTGGAAAAGTTTTGTATTGTTTTCTCTGGTTGTAGAACTTTAAAGTCGTAGCAGAAAATGTCTTCAGAAGAACCAGTTGAGGTGAATATGATATAGATGCTAATGGTATAAAGTAATCAATGGTCAAAGTTTTTAAACAAAAGTGCAATGAGCTTTTTTGATAATTTTATGTGCGAGTATACAGAGAATAATGGAAAGTCGTGGGGAAAGTACCATTTTAGATTTGGAGAAGCTAGGAATCCAATTTGTACATTATGATATTTCACATTACTTTACTTCTACTTCTACTTTTACTTCTTTACTTGTAAGAGGTCACCAACCCATCACACAAGTTTTATATTTACCAATGTAATTGTTTTGGTATCAGCTACTGCAAATATATAAATGAAGGGCATAGGAGATTTTTTTTAATTTTACCCAACTTAGTCAGCTAAAGGAGAAAATAATTTATAGTCTTAGGGGGTATATTCTCTTTGGGTAAAAAAAAACTTGATATTGTTAGTTAACATGGTTAAAACACACCATGGTTAATAGCACCATTTAATATGTTTTTGTTTTTTCCTGCATTTTCAGTGTCCTTTGTGTATGGAACCATTGGAAATTGATGATGTCAATTTCTTCCCCTGTACATGTGGATATCAGGTATGCTGATTTATTATGGAGACAAATATAGAACAAAAAACTGCTACATGAATGTCAGACTTGGTTAATAATGTGAAAATCTTTTGGTCAGATTTGCAGATTTTGTTGGCACAGAATACGAACAGATGAAAATGGGTTGTGTCCTGCTTGCAGAAAAGTATATTATTTACTCTTGTAGTATATTTGATTTATTTTAATAATTGGTTGAAGAAATACTCTAGAAGGTATGAATGTAAAAAGAAAACAGTGGAAAAAGATTGAGTCTTCAGTGCATCATCATTGGACATGTATATGGTCAATATGGATTTGTAAATGTTTTTTGTTTGCTTATTTTCATGTTTATTTTCTAAAGATAATTTGATTTTGTCTTATTTTTAGCAATACCCAGAGGATCCTGCAGAGTTCAAACCTTTGACAGAGGATGAGTAAGTTTTTTTATAGCATACAATTTGTCCTGTAATTATATATCAGTAGAAATATATTTCTTAATTTTCCACTTATATCGATTATATGCAGGTTTAATATTTTTTTCAAAACTGCAGTTTTAGAAATAGGGATTTGGTCAGATATGGAAATTTATTATTGTCCAAAGCTTTTGAAGTGTTTGTAAGATCAATTGTCATTACAAACTGACCTGATGCGTTTAAATGCTGTAAAAATTCCTTTAAAAAACCAGACCTGCCTACCCTTCAGCTTTTGGCGTAATCCTCCCGCTTTTTACCACAAAATTACGCTATTACGCCACTTAAAATAATTTTACGCTTAGATATTTTGGATTAAAATCCATTATGAACGTGTAAATAAAGAGTCAAAGTACGACCTGCTAAAATGAAATGAGAAGTTCTAATAAAAGTAATTAATAGAGGACCTGTTCGAAAACGTACATATAAATATACCTAGTAGTTACATGTATATGTAAACTGGTATGGCGAAGATTCGGAAGAACACGAGAAGGCGCTTTACTTAGTTAACTGTTATATAATATTGCAATACGTACAGCCATTTCTATGCTCAATGTAGTTTATTTTAACATTGCTTAGAACAAAATAGAGAAGTGTGATTGTTAAAAAGATATATCATACAGTATTATTATGTAAGATTTGTGTAAACATGCAAATGCAAGCCTTCAATTTAGTGATGTGATACAAATTGACCAAATGCTTCATTAAGGGTGTACAGTTGATACAAGTTTAATATACTTTAGGATACTGGTATTTTACAACACTTTTTTCCAATAGATGATTCAAAAAAGAAAAGTTTATGCCAGCTTTCTTTAGTAAAGTACATTTTCGGTTGTTTTGAAGAAAATAAAGTATTGTATAGTGGGTGATTTATTTAAATTTCAATCGCTAAAATAGTCTGTACTCTTCTTATTGTTTATCTGCAAAGGGCTGAAACACTGTCCGTTAAAAAAAATTACGCCATAATTATTGGCATACCTTTGAGCAGGCAAAACAGCAAATTTTACATCCGCCAAGAAAACCCGCTATACAGTATTACATGTACAGTAAACAACAAAAAAGGAAAACATGATTGATTACGCTTTCACCTCTGAAATTCCACCAAAAATTTACTGAAATTACACCCTTGAAATGAAAAGGGTAGGCAGGTCTGAAAAACCTTTAAGATTATTTTCAAACAAATGAATAAACATCTTTATAGATATTGGTTACAGTGCTGAAAAAATTGATAAATTCCTTTATCATTTTTAGCTCACCTGAGCTGAAAGCTCAAGTGAGCTTTTCTAATCACATTTTGTCCGGCGTCCATCTGTCTGTCCGTCTGTCTGTCTGAAAACTTTTCACATTTTTGACTTCTTCTCAAGAACTGCTGGGCCAATTTCAACCAAACTTGCCACAAAGTATCCTTGGGTGAAGGGGATTCAAGTTTGTTCAGATGAAGGGCCACGCCCTCATTCAAGGGGAGATCATTGGAAAGAAATGAAAATTTGGTGGCATATTTTAAAAATCTTCTTCTCAAGAACCACTGTGCCAGGAAAGATGAAACTTATGGGGAAACATCCTCACGTAGTGTAGATTCAAATTTGTTCAAATCAATACCCCCGAGGGTAGGGCGGGGCCAAAATTGCCGACCAAAGTTTTACATAGAAATATATAGGAAAATTTTTTAAAAATCTTCTTCTCAAGAATGACAAAGCCATAATTCATCATATTTATATGGAAGCATGCTCAGGTAGTGTAGATTCTGGTTTGTTCAAATCATGACCCCCGAGGGTAGGGCGGGGCCAAAATGGCCAACCAAAGTTTTACGTAGAAATATATAGGAAAATTCTTTAAAAATCTTCTTCTCAAGAATGACAAAGCCATAATTATTCATATATATATGGAAGCATGCTCAGGTAGTGTAGTTTCAAGTTTGTTCAATTCATGACCCCCGCGGGTAGGGCGGGGCCAAAATGGCCGACCAAAGTTTTACATAGAAATATATAGGAAAATTCTTTAAAAATCTTCTTCTCAAGAATGACAAAGCCATAATTCATCATATTTATATGGAAGCATGCTCAAGTAGTGTAGATTCAAATTCGTTCAAATCATGAGCCCCAGGGGTAGGGTGGGGCCAAAATGGGCGACCAAAGTTTTTAAAGATATATATAGGAAAATTCTTTAAAAATCATTTTCTAAAAAATAGCAAATCCATGATTGGTCATGGGACTACTTTTGGATTTAAACTTTACAATAAAAAGCCATTTTCTACTTTTTCCTACCCTTAGTGCTCAGGTGAGCGATGTGGCCCATGGGCCTCTTGTTAGTTTTTGTCTGTCTTTTGTTGAATCTCATTTAAAATAAGTGCTAAGTTTTGCGAAATGTTTTGCATACAATTTTTACTAAAGATGGTGACCATTGTAAATAATTTGTGTATACTTTTGCAGATTTCAGAGGATTAGGAAAGAAAGAAGACAGAAGGATCTGCAGAGAAAGCAAAAGGCTGCAGAGAACAGGAAACATCTAGCTAATGTCAGGTAAGAAAAGGCAATAGGTGAAAG